CTCACCACCTCCTGAGGCAGCCAATTCCACTGTGGAACAACTCTTACTCAGGGCTCTTTTGGTAGAAAAAGCCCAACAGGAACTCATTAGCATAACAGGCCACACCCAACAGCAGAAATGTATTAGCATGTTAGGCCACACCCCTGGCAGCACAGCTTATTAGCCTATTAGGCCACACCCCCATGTTACCAGAAGTGTGGTCATCCAGCCACACCCACCTTTTGCTTCTTATTCTGTTTACCTTGTTTGTTGTCAAAACCCAGGGCTTTTTTTGTAGCAGGAACTCCTTCGCATGTTCGGCCACACACCCCTAATGTAGCTGTTGGGTGTGGCTTATTATGCTAATGAGTTCCTGCTGGGCGTGGCCAACTCAGGAGCCAGCCGGAACTCCGTTCCTGTGCGTTCCTGCCCAAAAATACCCCTGCTCTTACTGGAAAAAAGTTTTTCCTAAAAGCCAGCCAGTACCTTCCTGCCCTTAATTTAAATCCATTACTGTGAGTCCTCTTTTCTGCTGCCAGCAGGAACAGCTCCCTCCCCTCCTTGTAAATGACAGCCCTTCAAATACGTAAAAGAGAGCAGTCATGTCGTCGTTCTCTCCCAGCCTCCTCTTCTCCAGACTAAGTATTCCAAAGTCCCTCAGCCTTTCCTCACAGGGCTTGGTCTCCAGACTTCTGCCTGGACCCAATTCAAACTTTCCATTTTCAAAACAGCTGCCTCTCTGCCCGTGGTGAAGAAATAGCACAAGTCTTTAGCCTTCCACTTATTTTTGGTGGGTGCCACGTGGTGGGTGCCACATTGGGGACGCCTGCAATGAACCATAGTTCATTGCAGGCATCCCCAACGTGGCACCCACCAAAACCTTTCCTGGTGCTCGCCAGGTGTTTTTTGTTTGTTTGTTTTAAGAAAGTGGGGGTTTTGGCCAGGTGGGGCTTTTGGCCAGCAAGGCTTCTGGTTGGCCATTGGACATTTCACTGGCTTCACGGAATTTTAGAAATGTGATTTTGGTAGCAGCTGCTACCACACCACAAGGATCTTCACGGCGTGGCTGAAAGTAAGCTGCAGCAGCCATTTTGTGACTGTGCCCACCACACTGTCAGAAGAAGAGAAAGAAGGGATTGGATTTATACCCTGCCCTTCACTACCCAAGGGAGTCTCAGAGCGGCTTACAAACCCCTTTCCCTTCCCCTCCCCACAACAGACACCCTGTGAGGTAGGTGGGGCTGAGAGAGCTCTGACAGAAACTGCTCTTTTTCAAGGACAGCTGTGCCAAAACTAGGGCTTGCCCAAGGTCATCCAGCAGGTGCAAGTGGAGGAGTGAGGAATTAAACCCGGTTCTCCCACAAGTGGAGGAGTGGGGAATCAAACCCGGTTCTCCCAGATTAGAGTCCGCGTACTTAACCACTACACCAAACTGGCTCCAAAGGTGCCCGCAGGCTTAAAAAGGCTGGGGACCCCTGGTTTATTGCATGACTATTATGAGTATAGGCAAGGATTCTTAAACCAAAAATCTTATTTTTAATTATTCTTATTTTTGTTTAATGATTCAAGCCCTTGACCTCCAGAGCATCCCAGCTACGGTATATCGCTGCTGTAATAAAAAAACAAATGCTTGCAAAGCCACATGAGTAAAACATTAACTACCTACATTAGTTTTATTCTTGATTTTTGGATTCCCCTCTTCGGCTGTAAACAATGTGGGGGCAAGAATTGTTGCTACTCTTGTGCAAGCGTGGAATCTGGTCTATTTATTTACTCACTTCATTGATACCTTGCCTTTCTTCCCCAAGGGTGACCCTAAGCTTGTGAATGTTGAGTGACCAGCATTTTGCTCATGTACTGTTAATTCAAAGCAAAGAATAGATGAGAGATATTGTTGCAATGTTGCAATAGCGGTTCTAGTTCAGGTTTCAACAGATTACGCACACTGCACGGAGAAGTTAGTTGTGATTCATCCCTGTCTTCTATAAGCAACAGGACTTGCCCATTCCAACCTTGGTGATCACGCCCCATCAGGAAGGAGAGCGAAAACTAGTTTCTCCATAAGTCAGCTCATGTGAAAGGGATCTAGGTGTTCTGGTTGATCACAAGCTAAACATGAGCCTGCAGTGTGATGTGACGCAATCGAAAGCTAATGCAATCTTAGGATGCATTAACAGAAGCATTGTGTCCAGATCACGGGAGGTGGTAGTTCCACTCTATTCTGCTATGGTCAGGCCTCACCTGGAGTACTGTGTCCAGCTTTGGGCACCACATTTTATGAAGGATGTTGACAAGCTCGAGCGTGTCCAAAAGAGGGCAACCAGGATGGTGAGAGGGTTGGAATCCAAGTCTTATGAGGAAAGGCTGAAAGAGTTGGTTATGTTTAGCCTGGGAAAGAGAAGGCTTAGAGGGGACATGATTGCAGTCTTCAAATAGTTGAAGGGCTGTCATGTAGAAGATGGAGCAGATCTATTCTCTCTTGCTCTGGATTGCAAGACTAGATCTAATGGGTGGAAATTACAAGGGAGTCGATACTGCCTAAATATCAGGAGAAACTTCCTAACTGTAGGAGTGGATGAGCAGTGGAAGAGACTACCTCGGGAGATGGTGGATGCTCCTTCGCCGGACGTTTTCAAGCAGAGGCTGGAAGACCATCTTTCGGGTATGTTGTAGGTAGGGC